CTGCGGCGGCCGCGCTCCGCGCTCGCGGCGGCGAGGCGACGACGGCGACGAGGATCGGCCGACCGGGATCGACCGACGGGGGTCGACGACGACGACGGGGATCGACGCGGAGAATCGCCGACGGGGCTCGACGGCGACGAGGATCGACGACGAGGATCGACGGAGGCGATCGCCGACCAGGATCGCCGAAGAGGATCGCCGACGACAGAGATCTGTGTCCTGGGGCGCTTCTGAACCTCATCGGTGATGTTGTACGCCCGCTCGCCGAGCGCAGCCACCCACCCGCGACGCCTGGTGGAATCTGACGTAGTAGTGAGAGGCCTTGTATGTTAACTACTTACTCGCTGTAGTGACGTCACTCGGCAGCTGAAGAAGACAGGAGGAGGGAAGCAGTCAACCAACGGCGAAACATCGAATGCCTGGAGTGATCCTCATCACCTCGTGAATGGAAGGGGTGAGGGAGGAAGAGGGGGAGGAATAGGTCTGACTACAACCGGTCGTGGTAATCTAAACGGTCGCAGCTGGGCACGGGCGCCCTGCAAGCAAAGAACGGCCAGAGTTATCCTCATTCCACTCTCTCCTCACGTTTCTCCCCGTTCCTCCCCTCTTCCCCCGCTTCCTCCTCCTCCCCCTGCCCCTCCCCCCACGCGCGCGGGGAAGGGAGGAGTGGGGATGAGGAGATGGAGGAGCAGTAACAGGAGGTCCCACCCTGCCGTCCTCCAAACAACAGCTGAGTAGCGAGTCCAAGGCAAACGCAGTGATTGCCAGCGCGGGCCCCATACAGCAAGTGCTTGCACCGCCGACGCTCAAGCCAACTGGGCCTCGTGGCCACCAGGAATCGCAGCAAACAAAAGCACTACGCATTGGCCCCGGCCATACGAATCCACAAGGCACCGCCCAAAGGGCAAGGGTACCGCAGGGCACCCGTCGGGCACCGGCCACACGTCGGGCACCAGCCAGACGAAGCCGCCCAGGGTGCACGACAGCGGCCACCGAGCACTGGACCAACCATAAGCAGCAGTGGCCACCAGCCACAAGGCGCCGCCCGTGGGCCTCAAGGCCGCCACCAGGAATCAGGGCGCCAGCCATAGGGAACCGCCCACAGGGAACCACGGCGGCCACCAGAAACCCCAGCAACCACTCCGAGTGGGAACTGCGTAGACGGAGGGCAATCGAACCAAGCTCAAATCAAGCACGATCTCGAAATCCCTACATGAGGCGCAACCTGCAGCAGTGACATGCAGCAGCGAGCATCGCGTGCAGGTGAAGGCCTTCGTCCGCTGGGGCCTGCGGTGGAGCTCCTTATGGGGCCGCAGGGATAGGGATATGTTCCAGGCTGGTGAAAAATGGCTTGAGCCAGAATGGCTACGCCGCTGGAGCCTTCGGTGGAACTCCCTGTGGGGGCCACGAAACGTGTGCGGGGTGTGCCGGACTGGGTGCGGGTAGGCCCTGCGGACGCTGACGTTGGGGCCTTCTGTGGAATTCCTTACGGGGCCACGAAACGTATGAAGGGTCTGGCGGATTTGGTGCGGCTCCGTATGGGGCCACGCAACGTTTGAAGGGTGTGCCGACTTGGGGGCTGGCACACCATGCGGACGCTGCTGCTGCGGCCTTCGGTGGAGCTGCTCTATCGTGCCACTAAGCGTGTGAGGGGTGTGCCGAATTGGTGGCGGACGCCATGCGGACGCTGCTGCTGGGGCCTTCGGTGGAGCCCCGTGGGGCCACGAAGCGTGTGAGGGGTCTGCCGACTTGGGTGCGGGTGCGCCATGCGGACGCTGCCGCTGGGGCCTTCAGTGGAGCTCCGTATGGGGCCACGCAACGTTTGAAGGGTGTGCCGACTTGGGGGCGGGTACACCATGCGGACGCTGCTGCTGGGGCCTTCGGTGGAGCCCCCTCCCTTATGGGGCCACGAAGCGTGTGAGGTTTGTGCCAACTATGGTGTAGGTGCGTCATGCGGACGCTGCCCCTGTGGGGCCACGAAACGTATGAGGGGTTGTGCCGAACTGGGTGCGGGTACTCAACGTGGACCCTGCGGCTGGGGTCTTCGGTGGAGCCCCCTATGGGGCCACAAAGCGTGTAAGATGTGTGCCAGATTGGTTGCGGGACGCCATGCGGACGCTGCTGCTGGGCCTTCGGTGGACCACGAAGCGTGTGAGGGTCTGCCAACCTGGGTGCGGGTACGCCATGCGGACGCTGCCGCTGGGGCCTTCGGTGGAGCTCCGTATGGGGCCGGGCACGAAGCGTATCAGGGTTGTGCCGACTTGGGTCCGGGTACACCATGCGGATGCTGCTGCTGGGGCCTTCGGTGGAGCCCGCTCCCTTGTGGGGCCACGAAGCGTGTGAGGTTTGTGCCAACTATGGTGTAGGTGCGCCATGCGGACGCTGCCGCTGCGGCCTTCGGTGGAACCGCCTGTGGGGCCACGGAACGTATGAGGGGTGTAGCGAACGGGGTGTCGGCACGCCATGCGGACGCTGCCGCTGGGGCCTTCGGTGGAGCCCCCTATGGTGCCACGGAGCGTGTGAGGGTTGTGTCGAAGTGGATGCGGGTACGCCATGCGGACACTGCCGCTGGGGCCATGAAAAGTGTGAGGGAGGATGAGAGGATATGAGAAGACGCGCGCGGGCGCATTGCATCGCACGCGCCCGGTACACTCGCGCAGTACAAGTGTTCTGGAGCCGTAGGCTTCGGGCGTGAATTGTACGTCCTACAACACATTCGGAGTGCGCAGCAACCCGCGATGCGATCACCACATAACTATGCAGGGCACCTGTCTGTCGCGACAAATGCTGCAATGCCTGACTCTGTGGGCAAAACACATGAATACACGTAAAACTATACATGCTTGTTTGATAGCATGTGTACAAAACGATGTTCTAAACTCACCTGTGTAAAAGTGGACGACACCTGCTGGATGCAAATCTGGAGGGCCACCGTGCCTGACACCACGAGGACCGAGCGCTGGACATACGGCTGCCCACTCGTTCACTCGGCTCTCCCACATGCCCGCCGTGCTACGGGCATGCGGCTTCCCTGCATGTGTCCGCGTGCATCTGCGCATGCGCGTGCAAACATTCACATGTAGTATCTACACAGATGGACACACACGTGAGCGATGGGCACCGGCCACGTGTGACCAGCATGCAGGAGACGCCCCTGGCGCGCTCCGCGCGCCAGGGAGTGGGCTTCAGCGCCGACCCACGAACTCCGCGCGGCCCTTCGAACACCTAATTCTGGCGCCCGCCGTTCTGACTTCCCAGGCCCCCGACGTCATGAGTTGCTCAGAACGTCGACCCTGAGAGGTCTCGACCCATTCCCCGGGACCGGTGTTTCGTCCCGGGTCGTTGTTTGACGATCCCGAGGCCCGGTAAGAGCCTGCAGAGGCCGAAAATATGGAAAAACCTCCCGTCATGATTTTTTCCTTACCCGAGGGGGTCTGGGTTTCTGGCGCATGCCGTTCTGCCTTCGTGGGGTGGCGATCGTGTTCGATCGAGGGCCCGTTTGCCCGGGTGCGCCGACCGAGGCATGTGCGCGGGCGTTGGGGGGGCCGGGGGGACGTGCTCAAAGCAGGAGGAGAAAGAGGAGGAGAAAGAAGAGGAGGAGGAGGAGAAAGAGGAGGAGGAGGAGGAGGAGGAGGAGGGAGGAGGAGGAGGAGAGGAGGAGGAGGAGGAGAGGAGGAGGAGGAGGAGGAGGAGGAGGAGGAGGAGGAGGAGGAGGAGAGGGGGGGCCATGACATCTGGAAGATCTCATGGCCCCGGCCACGATCCCCCCCCATTCGTAAAACCAGCGATCGGCAAAGGACGCCTCTCTCTTCCGGAGCCAGGCCAGCCCTGTCGATCGATGCTGCCCTGCTCGGATTAGGGTTAGGTCGGGCGTGTCTTCCTACAGGCTGATTTGGATGAAAAACAAGAACATTAAAACATACTCAAGAATAGTCAAATAATAATAGAACATTCGTCCCCAGACTACTTCTCTGCTATGTTAAGTATTCCACCTGCGGAAAGACAGGCCCGACTTGAGATTAGGGCCTTCTCTTGCACGGCTTCTTGAGCCTGGCCACGGTACCTCTAGCCTGGCCATGGCTCCTTGGTCACGGTGCCTTCCCCTAGTTAGTCCTGAACTCCCAAGAACTTGGATGCCCCTGACCTAGACATCCGACGTCACATGTGCTTCGCACCGTGAGCCCCTGGGACCAACTCCACTCAGCCCGTCTTGGGCCCGCGGAGGCCGAAACTCGCCACAAAAACTTGCTGTCGCGCCTCGTTTTTTGTTGTTTTTCATCGCGAGGATGGCAGGACCTTGGACACGTTACCAGCCTGGAACATGACCCTATCCCTATGCTGGGCACCTCCTCATCACGATGCCAATCTTAGGGATTCCCTTCGTTTTTGAGGGCGGATCCCTAAGATCGTCATCGCCTTTTGGCGTGTCAATCTTGGGGATAGGTATACGTTCAAGGCTGGTATTTTTTTCATCGCGAGGATGGCAGGACCTTGGACACGCTCCTCCCGCGCCTCTCCAGGGGCGCGACCTTGACCAGACCGTCGAGTGGAACCCAGCCGCGGCGGCGAAGGCTCTCTTGGGCGAGCAGCGGCATCGGTATCTGCTCCTCCTCTTGGAACCTGCCCAGGATTCCTTGGCCACGGTTCCCCCCCCAACGGGTACGGATGCCCGGACGCAGATGGCATGCAGAACCAAACAGCGGCCGCTGCTGCAGGCGGCCTCGTGTCCCAAATGGGCAACACCCGCGACGGCACCGACAGCGAGTCCTGTTCCTTTCCGCCGACCTGTGGGCGTGTGTGAGACGCTGTCGTCGTCGTCGTCGTCGTCGTCGTCGTCGTCGTCGTCGTCGTCGTCGTTGTCACCAGTCCCAAGGAAATGGAGAAAAAGGGAAACGGAACACGTCGTAACCAAGTCCATCTCCTGCCCTCTCTCCCTTTTCCCTGCCAGGTGGGTTTGGGGGGTGGGGAAAGCTGGGGGGGGGAATTGCGGGGGGGTGGGA